TAATATAACTTTGTCCCTCATAGATGAGAAACAAGAGTAATCAATGGAAGTACACAAATGGCACCTTTATCTTGTAGGAAAGCAAATGACACCATAGAGATCTATGCAAAGGTTTTGCAGCAATTTAGAAACAGAGAAATGTTGAAGAGTGCAGGGAGAGATTTGCACCGAGTAACAAGAGTGTCACAGACAAAAAAAAAACATTTCTAGAGTTTTCCTGTTGTTTGGGGGTGTTATTTTTAAATCACTTTGGAATGAAAGTTTTTATGACCCCACAAATTATCTGTTCCTTCCTATTTCCTAGAAGCGGTTCACCTCTGGTTGTAAATTTAAAAGTCAAAAAAATATTGTTATGTAGGACCATCTGTGGCTTAGTTCTGTGCCTAATATTAGTCAATCTTCCTTCTTAATGTTGGTTTTCAGTATTGATGTCACTCTTTCAAATAAATCTTTTTTTTTTTTTTTGGCAGTACTGGGTTTGAACCTTGCCAGGTGTACTCTACACCTACATGGAGCTACACCCCGAGCCCTTTTTATTTTTTATTTTGAGATAGGGTCTTACTAAGTTACCCAGGCTGGTCTTGAATTTGTAATCCTCCTGCCTCAGGTCACAGGTGTATACCACCAGGCCCAATAGAAAATAAATAAGTTTTGTGGAAAGTTTCTAATAGTATAGAAAAATACTTTATAGAGACAAATGGGGGGAGGCTAGAAAAAAGAAATTAAAGGAAATAGACCAAAATATTAGTGATTGGGGTTGCGGGTAAGGCTCTGGGGAGTTACCCTTTGCTCTCTGGCGTATGGTTCTGGGTAGATTTTGTTAGGGTGTGTTCTCACCATGTTCCCTGCTCCCTGTCCCCTAGCCTCTGCCTTCTTGGTACATTTATCTCTCTCATCCTGAGCTTCTCTTATTTTTTTTACTCTTTTTATCTTTAATAAGTAGTCTTATGTATACGTGTTGTATTGCCGTTAGATTTGTTAAATCCAATTTATTAATAGAAACTGGTAAGAGGTAGAAACTATAAGCAAACAGACACAGACCATGTAGACACCAGGTCCTGGAGGTGCACCCCTAAGCTGGCCCCTAAACAGCCCTGTGGTGCTGTTTCTCACCTCCATAACACCTAGCCCCCAGGCTTCCTCTCCTGTCCCTCCTAGGATAAGAGGTAGCTCACCAGCCTTCCCATCTTCACAGGGAAAACTCTGCCCTCCTGGGGCCAGACGATGCTGTCGAAGGACTTTGAGCTGCTATGCAGAGACGGCAGCCGAGCCGATGTCACTGAATGGAGGCGATGCCACCTGGCTCGGGTGCCTGCACACGCTGTGGTTGTCCGGGCTGACATGGACGGGGGCCTCATCTTCAGGTTGCTCAATGAAGGCCAGGTGAGATGAGGCACCCCACCCCTCGAAGCCTCCCAGCTGGTGCTGGGTCTTCTCTCCCACAGTGTGGGAGGCAGGAGGTCTGGCCAGACAGGGACACAGGGAGCCTCAGGCATCCCTCAGAGAAAACTCCTTGTGCCTGTGCCTCTGAAGATCAAAATCAGAACACATGAGCAAACGAGCCAAAGGACGAGTCCAGTTCCTTTCAGAGTTTGACACTGATTGCTGAAGAATGCTTTGCTGAAACTTCTGCTTCTGACAGCCATGCACTCCCGACTCTAGGGTGCACCCCGTGGTATCTGGTTTCACCCCATTCACATGGCAGCTGCCCAGCCATTGCTTGTCCCCAGTACTGACCCAACCTAGACCAAGTTGTGCAAAGGGTGGGGTGCGACAAGGCAGATGAACTGAATGGACACCCAGAACTAGAGGAGCACAGAAGAAGGAGAGTTCTTCTTCTTGGGGAGGCCCTGAAGGGGAGGGGGGCCTTGCCTGGCCCTCATAGTAGGAGAAGGAGGTGGTGTCTGAGCTGGGGAAGGAAGGTGGTCTGGCAGCACCCTTTTCACCCCCACACCCACCTTTGACACACAGCGTCTGTTCAGCCATGAGGGCAGCAGCTTCCAGATGTTCAGCTCTGAGGCCTATGGTCAGAAGAACCTGCTGTTCAAGGACTCTACCACGGAGCTCGTGCCCATCGCCACGCAGACCTATGAGGCATGGCTGGGCCGCGAGTACCTGCATGCCATGAAGGGTCTGCTCTGTGATCCCAACCGTAAGTCCCTGTCCCTACTCCTGCCAGCTCCACCCCAGCCTGACTGGCATGGCAGGGTCTCTGAGGTGGGTGGGCAGCGGAGGACACTCACCTGGGAGACCTGCCATATGCCTGTGGCCCCTATGGGAGCTGGTCACTTCTAGTTCTCTGCCTCTGGGGCTAGTGGGGGAAGCCTCTCTGTGGTTATTGGACCTCTGGACCCTGGAAAGCCCACCTGCTCCAGGAGGCAGGATCCCAGCCATTAGGGTCGGTATAAGGGCCATTGAGTTCTGACAGTTCTGCCCCCACAACCTCTCCTTCCTCCTCCCTTTGTCCACCCCATGGCTTCAGCCCTGTCTCTGGCATTGCCTGGAGTATTGCAGTAGTCTACAAATGGGCTTCGTCTCTCTAGTCCCTGACCCTATCAGCCCTCCCCCAACCAGGGAAATGGTGGCCAGACACTCAGATACATGGCAGCCGTGGTCTGCCTCAAGCTTCTCACTGCCCCGTGGAAGAGGCAGTTCACCCCTTCCTGTGTGAGGAAGTGGGATCAGATGGTTAAATAACGCAACCTGGACACGCAGCTAACGAGAGAAAGGCCCAGAGTTTCCCTTGGGTCTGACTTCAAGCTCTTCCCACTGAACACCAGCGCCCACACGCCCACCCACACAGGGATGCCCCACTACCTGCGCTGGTGCGTGCTCTCCACACCCGAGATCCAGAAGTGCGGTGACATGGCGGTGGCCTTCAGCCGGCAGAGGCTCAAGCCTGAGATCCAGTGTGTGTCGGCCCAGTCCCCCCAGCACTGCATGGAGCAGATCCAGGTGTGCCACAGTGGGTCAGGTGGGCATGTGGTGGTTTTGCCTGGGATGGTCCTTAGCAGCCCCCCAGCCCCATGCTGCCTGGGGAGGAGGACATCTCCTGATAGAAGGCCACAGAGAAAGCAGTGAAGGAGGATCACAGTGGGCCAGGAATAGACCTGTGGTCTTAGGCCCCTTCCTCTTCTTTAGTCTCAGTTTCCCCCTGTGCACAATAGGTGAAAGCAACAGACACTCAGAAATATATTTCATATCAATCATTGTCTGGTGCACAAAAACCTTTTTCAGATAGAAATATGTGTAAACTTTAGATATGAATTGAAACAACACTTGATGTTTTCTACTGTATTTTATTTTAGTCTCTTTTTCTTTTTAATGCCTGCCAAGACCCATTCCACTAATACCTGCACCTGCACAGAAACACTGGCCCCTGCTCCGAGATCCCATTCTGCTCTTATTCTCTTTGCTTCTTTGCTTGGAGACTGAGGCCAGAAGGCAGAGAGGAACCCAGGTCCCTGCAGCCAGGGAGGACATTCTACTGTGATCACGGGTGTCCAGTCTTGAGCCCTTTGAACTCTTCCTGTTTTAAGGGCAAGAGGTTAGAGGCTGATAGGGCAGTCCCTGAGCACAGGTCACAGCTCCCCAGGTGTGCCCTCCCTGCCCAGGCCAGAGAACCACATTGCCTAGAAAGTCAAGAAAAGGAGCATGGGCAGGAATAAAAGGGGCCACCTGGCTCACACCGGGTCACCACCGACACCGGGTAACCACTGAGGCTGTGGTGCAGATTACCTCACTGAATCCCTACAAGCATCCTTGGGGTGGGAATGGTCATTAGCCCCATTCACAGGTCTGGAGATGGGGGCTGAGAGAGGCTGAGGAAGTACCTTGCCCAAGGTCACCAGCTCAGATATGGAGAAGCCACTCTGCCTAGGGCCTGCAGGAAGTTCGTCTCTGCAGAGCTGAGCTCATCCGTGTGCAGTGCAGATGGAAGAGGCACCTCAGCTGGAATTGATGAAAGGGGGACTGGGGACTTTATTTCCAGATGCCTTTCCCAGGGCCCCAGAGCAGTTAGAGAAGTGGGAAGAGGCTTCCTTTAGGCAGGAGCCCCCTCTCAGTGGCTGCAGAGGACCAATGGGCTGCCCAGGACTGCGGGAAGAGGAGCAAAGGTCAGGGTTCCTCGGAACCCAGTAAGATGCTCAAAGATCCTGAGTTCTAGTTTCCAAGGCTCTCAGGGGTGGCATCTAGTGTGGCTCTTATCTCTATTTCCTGTGCCACTGCAGTGACCCAAGGAAGGGACCCTCACTCAGGCAGGATCCTGGGCTGTGGGGGTCCAGGTTCTGTGTCCGCCCTGAAAACGTGGTAGGTGAGAGAAAGTCTATGTGAGGGGAGAGGGGCCCCTAGAGGTGTACCCTTCAGGCTTGAAATGTAGTGCCACTGCTGCTGCTCACTAGTACTTCATGCCTCTGGGCCTAAAGATGTGGGCCACCTTCCTGGGCTGCCAGGGTCCCTCTATTACCTGGCCTTATCCCCTTCCCTTGGGGTTATTCGGGCTACTATGGATTACCAGCTACCCCTTAGCGGGTCCTGGGGCCACCTGCCAAGAGGCTTCAGATGGACAAATGGGGTGGGCTACAGGTGACCTGGGGGGCTCCCAGAGGGTCTGAGGGAAGAGGGCCCTGAACCTCTACAGCTGCCTCCTACAAGGGGCTTGGTGTCTCAACCCTGGAGCCTCTCCCACAGGCCCTAAGACTGCAGTCACCTAAGACCTGGTCATTCTCCCATTTGCACATGCATTTGACTGAAGTGTCTTACAATCACACCGTGTCAGCCCTTGGCCGGGTGCTGAGACACCTCAGGTTATCCGTGGAGTACCCACACCTAGCAAGAAGGCAGGGATGGTGATCTCTCTGTCCCCTGTAGGCTGGAAACATTGATGCTGTGACCTTGAGGGGCGAGGACATTTACACATCAGGGAAGGTGTATGGCCTGGTCCCGGCGGCTGGGGAACTCTACTCTGGTGAGTGTGGTGCCAGCCATCTGGCTTCCAATGGGTGGTGGTTGATGTCTTTATAAAAATGAAAATTTGCCCCTCAGCATTTTCAGAAGCTCTAACTCTCCCTAGTGCCACTGTCCCTAGGCTGGGTGCCTCTGTCACCAGGGAAACCCCTCCTGCCATGGCCTGGTTTCCCCATCTATATGATGAACATCTCTATGGGATCAGCAAATTATTTTTCAAAAAATTTTTATTCTAATTTGTTATATGTGACAGCAGAATGCATTAAAATTCATATTACACATCTAGAACACAGTTTTTCATGTCTCTGGTTGTACACAAAGTAGAGTCACACCATTCATGTCTTCATACATGTACTTTTGGTAACGATGTCCACCTCATTCCACTGTCATTTCTAACCCCATGCCCCCTCCCTTACCCTCCCACCCCCCTGCCCTATCTAGAGCTCATCTATTCCTCCAATGCTCCCCCTCCCTACCCCACTATGAATCAGCCTCCTTATATCAGAGAAAACATTCAGCATTTGGGTTTGGGGGATTGGCTAACTTCACTTAGCATTATCTTCTCTAACTCCATCCATTTACCTGCAAATGCCATGATTTTATTCTCTTTTATTGCTGAGTAATATTTCATTTTTGTGTATATATGCCACATTTCTTTTTATCCATTTATCTATTGAGGGGCATGTAGGTTGGTTCCACAGTTTAGCTATTGTGAATTGTGCTGCTATAAACATTGATGTGGCTGTGTCCCTGTAGTATGCTGTTTTTAAGTCCTTTGGATATAGACCGAGGAGAGGGATAGCTGGATCAAATGGTGGTTCCATTCCTGGTTTTTAAAGGAATCTCCATACTGCTTTCCATGTTGGCTGCACCAGTTTGCAGTCCCACCAGCAACGTATGAGTGTTCAGCAAACTTTTTGCAAAGAATCAGAGACTTTAGTCTCTGTTGAATATTCTTTTTCCGTTAAAACACTCAATTAATAAATATTTTAAAAATTGTTAGCTTGCAAGCCAGGCTATAAAAATACAGGACACCATGGCATTTGCTGATTTTGAACATCCTCAGCCCCTCCCTGCCCTGACTATGGAGGCCCACAGAAGTGACACTCAGGATCCCCCCCTTGTAGGCTCATTCACACCTTCTCAGTGGGCTAGGCTTGGCTTTGGCCTCTGTCCTATTAAGTGATGACCACCTTTCCACCTGGCTGTGAAAAATCTCTGGGTTTAGAGAAAATGCTTCAACCCTCAGCTGTGCCTCCAATTTTCTCCCAGTAGGTGAGAAAAGTACCACCTAGGTGTGAGGAAAGAAGGAAAGTGCTTTGAGTGGGGGCTGTTGGGGTGGGTGGGGTCCAGACTGAAGAGTGAGCCACACAGGCTGCTGGACAGGCTGCTGGACGGCCTTGGGTTGGTCACCCCTGAGCCTGCAGAGCCCCAAGGCAATCACAGCTCTCAAGCAGAGAAACAGGAAGCAGGAAGCGACAAGTTTAAGGAAACACCCGTGGGGATTGGTCCTGACTCTGATAGGAGACCCCTCATGAGATGTCCCTGTCCTTTCAGAGGCAGACAGGAGCAGTTCATACTTCGTGGTGGCTGTGGTGAGGCGGGACAGCTCCTACGCCTTCACCTTGGACGAGCTGCGTGGCAAGCGCTCCTGCCACTCAGGCTTCGGCAGCCCAGCAGGCTGGGACGTGCCAGTGGGCGCCCTCATCCAGAGAGGCTTCATCAGGCCCCAGCACTGTGACATCCTTACAGGTACTGCCCTCCAAGAGACACAGACGTGGGAACTCTTCTTTGACATTGGATGGGAAGGCCACCAGCACTGAGGGTCCTCTTGAAGGCAGCCCTGAGAGATTTCCCCTTCCCTCTTGATATGGTCCTGGCTATAGGGAAAGCTGGGAGCTATGCCTGATGTCACGCACAGTATTTATGGCTTCCTGGTGGCTCTGTGGACGCTGCCCAGGTACCCTCTGTCCACCACTGACCTGAGTAGAACTGACTCTATGGGTATGTGTGTGTACACACATGTATCTGGACCTAGCTTGTCACCAGCTGGTCATAGGGTTTTACCCATCACCCAGCAGTCCCTAGGCATCTGGGATGCCCAGTGGAAAGTGGCCAGGCTCCACAGAAGTGCCCAAGAATCCACACAAGTGCTAACATGGGGAAGACACATTTGCCAAGCACCCCCCATATGCCAGGCACGAAGCCGCTCTTCTTGGTGTGAAATCATGTGATAATTCATGGTGGAAGGAAAGTCGTGGGAAGCCAGCAAGATCCTTGGGCAGACTAGCTACAGACCTCTGTCCTGGCTGGTAACAGGAAAAATAAACTCATTACATTTTTTTTTTCTAACTACCTATGGAATCACTCAGAGGGCATTATGGTCGGCAGACACCCCCCTTTCAGACAGCTGGGCACTTGCTTCAATAGGAAAAGAAAAACTTATGAGGCAGTGAGTCTCCTATCCCTGAGAGAGTTTAAGCACAGGTTGGTACAGATCTGTGGGGGAGCAATCCACCCACCGCCCTGGCTATCTTTCTGCCATGGCCCTTCATCTCGGCCCTTCCCCTCTCCTCCAGCGGTGAGTGAGTTCTTCAATGCCAGCTGCGTGCCTGTGAACAACCCCAAGAACTATCCTTCCTCTCTGTGTGCCCTCTGTGTGGGGGACGAGCAGGGCCGCAACAAGTGTGTGGGCAACAGCCAGGAGCGGTACTACGGCGACAGTGGCGCCTTCAGGTACGCAGTGGCAGCCAGCAGGTGGCCTGGGGACAGCAAAAAGGCTGGAACCATCTCCTGACCCCTGCCCTGCGGTCTGTGTGGCAGATGCCTGGTGGAGAATGCAGGGGACGTTGCCTTCGTTAAGCACACGACTGTCTTTGACAACACAAACGGTATGTGAAGGGCCTGGGACCAGAGCAGGGGACAAGTAGAGGGGCTGTCCCGTCCAGCCCAATCCAGTCTCTGTGTTTGGGACCCAAACAGCAGCTGGGAGAGCTTGAGTCTAGAAGGCTCTGCCCATAGGAGCATAGGAGTCCCAAGGACCACAAGGTAAGAAGGAACCTCAGTCTCACATCCAGGTGTCAGGGCACTTGATGATCTTGCTGATCTGGGATCAACTCCATATTCCACTAAAGTGTCGACACTGTATCTCAGTCTGCTTGGAGACCTGCTCTCGGGGTGTTATTAAGCAGTGCTGAGGCACGTGGGTGGGGTGACAGGGGCCTTTCTATTCACATTAGCATCTGGTCTTTGGTCCTTAGCAGGGTGGTGCCCCAAGCAGGGAAAAAGTCCCCCCTCTGGCTTTGAGCCACGCCAAGGCAGGGCCACCCCAGACACACACATGGGCAGCTCTTACACTGGAATCACCTTCCCTGCTTCCACCTGAGAAAAGAGCTCAGCATCACTCTTCCCCAGGGTTCCCTAAACCTCCACTTGAGGTTCTTTCACAGTGAGGGCTTCTTAGCTTGCATGGCCCCCACTCAGTAAGAGGACCTGTGTCCTCTGGGGTGACTGGAGGCTGTTTCCCCAACACCCAGTGCTCGTACTTTCTGCCTACCCTGCAGTGTCCCAGGCTTTGAAATCCCAAACACTGTGGGCTTAGTCATGTCCACTGTGTCCTGCCATCTCTTCTCCAAGACTCAGCCCAGAAAGGCACAGAGGCCACTCAGAAAGGACACTGGGATTCATCAAGGGGAAGCAAGACATGCAGGGAAAAATATCAGTCTTTTAAAACTCAGATCCCACTGGTCTTTAGAGGTCACCAAGGTGGCAGGACTGTTTGTCTCAAAAGAGCCGGAGAAGGCTCCAGGCCCCGAGCCTACCTTGCACCCAGAATACTTGGGACCATCCTCTAGGAGGAGGGAGCCATGTTCCCAGCACAAGCCACCAGCTCTGCCTGGTCCCCATAACAGAAGCTCCTGCTAATCATATTTACCCAATGGGCTTTGTTACTCTGGTAATAGAGTAGAGGACTTGGAGAACAGAAAGGATTGTGGAACTGGCCAGATATTGCCACCTCTGCTCAGCAAAGGGTCTCAGACTGGGAGAAGAGTGGCCTCTCCCCAAACTTCTCCCTGTCCTGTGCTCCTCTCTCAGGCCATAATTCCGAGCCCTGGGCCGCTGCACTGAAGTGGCAGGAGTATGAGCTGCTGTGCCCCAACGGGGCCCGGGCTGAGGCCAACCAGTATGAAGCCTGCAACTTGGCGCAGATACCATCCCATGCTGTCATGGTGCGGCCAGACACCAACATCTTCACTGTGTACGGACTGCTGGACAAGGCCCAGGTAAGAGCCCTGGACATTCCTCCAGCCACTATCCTATTTCCTGCATCATTAATTTTTCCTTTTCAACTGGACCATTCTTATCAACATCTCTGTGGCAGATGCCTGGTGGAGAATGCCGGGGACATTGCCTTCGTTCATAACACATTTGTATTTGTTATTCCTTTTGCCATCTGTAAAAATCAAACTAACCCTCTTGGTCTCACAGGCTCTTATAACCCACGCCCTTTGAGAGCAGAACTCCTCCAAAGGGTTACCTCTATTCTGGAGTCATCGATCCTCTCCTTCAGTTCTCTCTTAAGAATGGAGACTACTCCAGACAGGCCCTACCATGGCCCTCAAGCTGTCCTTGTCAAAATCACAGTGACCTGTGTTGCTAAATCCAGCAGCTGCTTCTCGATCCTCATTGTGCCTGACTTCCCTGTAACACTGGCTACAGCTCCCTCCTCCTGAAAATTCAAGTCCCTCCCCTAGAAGGGGGTCCCAGGTCCCCATACCTGCCTGGCTCTCCTCCCACCTCTCTAGCCTCTCCTTCCCAATTCTTCTCCTGGTTCCTGCTCACCTCCCTGGCATGTAAATAAGGATATAAATAAATCCTAAGCCCTCTTCTCTGTCTACACTTATCCCCTCATTAATCTCATCTTGCCTCATGTCGTTAACAACCATCTGTACACAGATGGCTCCTAAATGTACATCCTCGGCCCTGATTTCAATCCCATCTTTCCATCCCAAACTGACATGGTTAACATGCCTACTTGATACTTCCCTCTGTATTTCTAACAGGCATCTCCAACTGATCAAGTCCAAGGGTGAACCCTCCTTCCTCCTCCAGTTGCCTGCTTCAGTTAACAGCAACTGTTGTCTTTCCATTTCCTCAGAAGTCATCTCTGACTTGTGCTCTACATCCTGTCCATCCACAGTTTGTTACTTCCAAAATGCATCTAGATTTTGAGCCTAGCTGTACAAGGAGCCCCTGGTTTCAAACCTCCAACCCTCTTCCCTCCTCCATTGATTTAAGCAGAAACGGTGCTCTCTGCCCACCAGCACCATGGAATTCCAGAGACACTGCCTCTTCAGGCCTGTTCCCAAACTAAAATTTTATGTTCTCCACTTGTCTTCCCCATGGAGTCCCTCCATCCCAGGAGTTCCTTACTCCAGGCCTGTGGGCTTTTCCTGGAGTCTCTAAACCCTCTGAAGTAATGTGGAAAGAATTCTGTGCACATGCATTTTTCTGGGAAGAAGGCCGACAGCTCTCATCAGATCTTCAAGAGGATCTGAGTCCCCTCAAAAAAAGATTGATAGCCACTTACTTCTCCTTCCCCCTTTGATTATATTTATCAGCTGACAGACAGACATTTATGCCTGATCTCCAGATGTCCTTTATTCATGTGTTTATAGGTTCTCACACTACTTCTGGTCTTCTTAATAGCTCTTTCAGGCTGTTCACAGCACATTCAATGCAAGGATTCCCAGCAAGGAATTGAATAGCAGCACCATTGCCTGGACACTGGAGAAGGGGGAGTTGATTAGTGAAGATATCCTCCACTCACCTATTATTTTATTACCGGTGACAATCTTGATGAGATTATTTTGGTTTGTAGGAAAAGATACCCCTAAGATACATCAAGAAAACAGTATCCAAAAAGTTGAAATATGCTGAGCAAGCTTAGCAAAAATTTAGTAATCTGATCCACACCATAGCTCATTTCTGGGTCTTCTTGCTTCTGTTCTTCATCCAAGAAGTGGTTTGGTGTAACTTCTTGAACCACTATCTTAAGGTGATACCTCTAGACATAGATTTTCCCAAGCCCCTTCCATGACAGAGCCCCATAAGTGGTCAAGCTGATGGCTTCAAATCAGAATCTTGGTACCCTGAAGTTACTTGCTCTTTGGGTCTCCTGTAACCCTCTGTAAGCCTGGATAAAAAGTTGGTTGCTTGCGGTGCTTCCAGGACCTATTTGGAGACGACCACAACACAAACGGGTTCAAAATGTTTGACTCCTCCAAATACCATGGCCAAGACCTGCTTTTCAAGGATGCTACAATCCGGGCAGTGCCTGTAGGGGAAAAAACCTCATACCTTGACTGGCTGGGGGCTGACTACGTGGCAGCTCTGGAAGGGATGCTGTCTCAGCAGTGCTCTGGCACAGGTAGGGCCCTGTCACATCCCCCTGGCATTACTTAGACCCATTCACCCTAAAACCTTGAGAGCTGAGGGCTCTCTAGGTCTCAGGCCAGCCTGTGTTTCACCTACCATTCAGGGGAAGAGTTCTGGGAGGGTCTAAACAGGGAAACTGCAGACAATTCTGGCAGGAACTGGCCATGTCACCCAAATAGCCCTGGATAATGAACATAAATGCTAAAAAGGATATTCCAAAGAGGATCTGAGGTAACGACATACATATTCATGTAGTATAATTTGGACGGGAATGAATATGTACAGAAACCAAGAGAACGGATAATTGTAAAAGGGTAGATAGAAAGAGTGGGCTGGAGCGAGCCCAGCACCCAGAAACCCAGCCGCCCACAGTCCTGCGTGCAAGCAGACGGGCGGTGCCAGGGCTGCCAGGGCTTCCAGGTCTTCCCGGTCCCAACTGTCCCTTCTTCCCCAGCGGCTGCCCAGCCCCCAGGTCCCCAGCTGCCACTGCTGCTGCCGCTCTTTACTGGCCTCCTCCTGCACGCCCTCTGAGCGCCACTCCGGCCAGCTGGCCTCGCGACTTGCTAGGAACCGCAGCCGAGGCCAGTCTGTGCAGGGCCTTGGCTGACACTGTCCTGAGAAGCGTCGCGTGCTGGAGAGGAACGGGAGGAACCACGCACAGAGCTCCCCAGAACTCCTGCTCTGACCCAACGAGAAGTTTCTGGAATGGAGATGAAGGCTAAGGCAAAGCCCCCTCCCTCCCGCGGAGCCACCCGCCCCCAGCCGCCTGGCCCTGGCCACCTGAGGCGGCTGGCCCGATGCCCAGTCACGCCGCCCAAGCTGGCAGCGCCTCCCTGCCAACCTGCAGCCTCCCACCTGGAGCCGGTGGCTGGCTGCGGGAGAAGGCCGGTCGCCAAGGAAACCGCTGAGCCCGGCTTCCCACGCGGCCCTCTGCTATGCGGCGGCCTGGGGACCTGAGAGCGCCTGCTGGGCCAGCTGCCCAGAGGACGCTGCGCCTCCGCCCCTGCTCCCGCGGGCACCACCTCCTTCCCACACTTCTGAACGAGCCGCTGGTCGCCTCAGCCTTTTGCCCTTGTCTTCTGAGGCTCCAGTGGGCGTGTGGGCAGCTGATTCTGCACGGCCCTGGAGGGAGAGCAGAGCTGGACTGTAGGGGTGACACCCTCAAGGGACCCTCAGAAGAAGGAAATGCTTCTCAGTAAGGGATTAGTTGGTGGGGGGGCTTGATGCAGGTTTGGGGGCTGTAATCCTGCCTAAAAACACATCTGTTGGTGAATCCAGTTCCATCCCAGGGCAAAGCCCATCAGAGGGAATCCACTCCTGAGTTTCCTCTTCTGGGCTCAGTCTCAGATTATCTTCTCTCCCTGCCCCACTGTGGTTCCCCTAACCCCTCAGCCTATTTCTGGACACCTGCCACTGCTGTTTACTACAAAATGAAGGAGCAGGATGTGGTCCAGGTAGCCCACAGGGGGAGAGCCTCTGAAGAACAGGATGAGGACCTGCCATTCTCTCACCCTAGTAAGCTCCATCTTCTCCCTTAACTTTGTACCTATGGGGTCCAGGGCCCATCCGCTCCAAAGAAAGGGTTCTCAATTTCTGACCCCTGTGAGAGTAAGCAGAAAGAGTGTGGAGAGAGTCCTGTCTCCACTCCACTTTGCCATGGTTCTCTGAGGAGCCAGAAAAAGTTTTCCAGAACTCCAAGCTTACTCTGAATTTTGCTCCCTGAAAAAAAGAAAAAAAAAAAAAAAAAGAAGAAGAAGAAGAAGAAAGGAAGAAGAAACTAGAGCAAACAGCTCTCGTCAGCAGACTGAGAGCCGCGTGGGCCTGGAGCTATTTGTATCCTGGTCTGCGGGGGCCTTGGGGATGCTGATGACAGGCCAGGTTCCTGGTGGTTCGCCCCCACCTGTGGGCACTGGGCTTATCCCTTACATGTCTCAGCAGTGAAGAAGGCTCTGGCAGCATCCTGGTTATAGCCACACCATCCTGAGGAGTCCTGGCCACCATGCTAGTCCAGCCCTTGTCCGCTGCAAGAGGCCAGAAGGAGCTAGGCCTCCTACCTTGGTAACCCTTCACTGGAGAGAGAGTGTGATTCTTCTTAGACCCCATGATTGTTTGATTTTTTTTTTTTTTAAGGGAACTTTGTGCAGTGAGAAGTCTATGTCTCTGTGGCTACTCTGGACTAGCGTGCCACCCAATGTGGTGCCATATACTGTGTGCTATGGAAGGTGTGATTTGCATGAGTGCTGTGTAAGTGACGATCTGATTGCCAGGTGATAGTAAGGGCTGTGTTACTGCTCATGAAAGATGTTGGTTTGTTTTTTAAATAAAATCAAACAACCCTGCACACGCAGAGGCTTGGATTCTGATAGAAACTTTCTGCTACTGATTCATTTTGTTTCCTTGGGTACTCAGAGGCCTGCGTGCCCAGACCCACTGTCCTGCCTCACCCAGAATGGCAGATTCCACTCAGAGGCCTGTTATCCAAGAACCAAAATCAGGGACCATTCTGGGCCTCCAGCCAGCAAAGCCCCCAGCTTCCTGCTCCCATCTGGACTGCTTCTCTGGCCCCCACAGTGCCTCAGCCATCCCCAGCACATTCCAGCTGCTTCCACCCACTCAGCCCCTTGGGTGTCCTGTCCGCTCTCCGGGGAACTGGGTACAGAGGAGGATATAAACTTCTCCACTGCCCCTTGTCTTGTGTCACTAAAATAAACCACCCACACCCTGGGTGCTAACTCACTGGTGGAGGAGAAAGAGAAGAGCAGATCTCTAAGTCCTCACAGTGGGTGCTCTCGCCTGTACTGGAGTATAGATGGGCCCTGCTTGGTCAGAGTCTGAACCCTGCCATCCCTCAGGGAGTGGAGGTTTTTGTACTCCCCTCTCCCTTGACTCCTGTCCATTCTGTCCCACCATCATTGTAGCCTCTCACACAGCTAGATTTTACCTGCTAATGGACACAGGCCATTTCCCATTGGTGTGTACAGTGAGAAGATATTCCTGAAGGAGCATTTTGTAGAAGATTGACAAAATGCTACAATTTTTTAAAAAAAGAAATCCCAATTTGGAAAAAAAAATAATTGGATCATTTACCTAAGATTGAGGGAATTTGAATTCTAGTCTATGTCTGTTATTCACCTTGAGCAAATATTTGCTCCTCCCTCAATCTCAGTTCCTAAATCTATCCAATGGGAAGTTTGAATGGTCCCTTGGTGGTTTTTGCTCTACCAGGTTTTATAAGTCAGTCTTCCTAGGGCTGCTTCTGGCTGGTACTGAAGTGCAGAGGACCAGGTGGGCTCCTTCATTTCTCCTTCCCTGGTTGGCACTACCAACCCTGAAGCTGTTTCCCAGCTGAGAATCATTATATGCCAGGAGCTCTTGCACTCCTGTGTGTGTCAGATCACGTCAAGGGCTTGTTGAAACGGATTGCTGCTCCTACCCACCCTTCTCAGTTTTCCATTCTGTGGGTCTGGGAGGGGGGGGCAGGGGTGTCCCCAGATTAACATTTCTGTCAAATTCTCAGGTGATGCTGATGGTGTGGGTCCATCCACCTTGCTTTGAACAACTGTTTAAGGCACCGTGAGCTCACACACAGTGAGGACATCAACAGGTGCCTGTCCCAGTGGAGTCCAAGGCTTAGGTGGGGAAACGGAGTGGTTGGGACCCTTGTGGAAGAAGCTAGGCCCTGCCCAGGGGACCTGTGGCCTGGGGAGGGGTGTCTCCACAGGGAGAGGTAGGATGGGCAAGAAGATGTTGAGGGCCACAGCTGAGTCGGGATGACGCATGGCATTTTTGCCAGAAGTAGTGGTTGAGAGGTGACGCCAGCGAGCCATGAAGATGATGACTTTTGAATTCTCGCGGAGTTCCCGTTGAGTTCCGGTTGAGCTCTCGCGGGGATTCCTGAAGAGTTCCCAGTTGGTTGGTGAAGTTCCGGTGGTGGGAGTTCCGGTGGGTGTGGTGTGTTCCTGGAGGAGCCGCGTGGGTGGCGTTCGGGAGAGTTCCCGGGGAGCATGTGTGGAGTTGGTGGAGTTCAGAAATAAAGTTTGTTCCTGCTTGAGTGGCTCCTGATTTGTGCCCAGCCAGACTGCGGCAAGAAGGTGCTTGAGCAGCTGTGGCTTCAACAAGCTGCAGGAGAGGGACAGCATGCAGTCACCACTCTTTCCCAGCATGTGGCTCTCTCCTTCCTCTGGCCCTGGCCGCGGTATTCCCCACCCTCAGCAGCCTAAATCGGGTTTTTAGGAAGAAGGGAGAATCCAAATATTAGCCTGGGAAGGATGTGTGTGGTCAGAATATACCTCTTCCATCTCCTTCTTGGCTTGGAAGTCTCCAGAAACCTCTAATTCAGCAGAAAATCCAAACTGTATTCTCTACTGTGGCCAACCTTTAGGACAGAGAGATGGATGTGAAGGGCCTGGTGGCTTGCTGGGTAGGGTGTTCTTAGCCAAGATCCCAACCCAAACGACTATGAGGCCCACTCTGCCGCTGACCCACTCACTTCTTTCCTTCTTCCTCCTAACAGACCCCAACTCTGTTCAGAAGGGCAATGTGCCCACCTAAAAGCATTCATTTGTGGGACCAGACAGTTGAGTTCTGGCTGAAGGAAATGATGTGCTTTGGGGGACACGTGCGTGGTGTGGGTTTCAAGAAGTCTGTTCAGGAGGAGCAAATTGGGCAAGCATAGCCCTTCACCCCTGAGCCCTTCTTTTCTTCCTTCCTGGAAAGCAGACGTGATAGCTGATAAATGCAGCAATTACCTTGCTATATGAGGCAACAAGCAAAGGAAAAGGACAACGTGGAGGGGAGAGCTGGGCACTCAGTCAAGTGGCAGTACCCAGGCCTCCAGTGATCTGATCTGGATTCCCTAGCTGCCATTTCCAGTTTCCTCTTGTTTCCCCTGAAAACATCCTGAACGAATACAAGTGGTAATGGTAGAGAGTGTGAGATAGGCCAGAGGGCTCCTAAATTCTTGGCCTGGCCTTGTGACTTGTGTGGGACTCTGGAGAAGTCACTGCCACCTCAGGGACATGTTTCCCCATATGTGGGAATGAACCTAAAGGCCTCCAGGGCCTCCTTATGCCCTGTGTGGCCATATTCAAGGGCCAGAGCTGGTCCCAGCTGGGAGTTCCAGGACAGGGGATGGGGGGACTTTAGGGATGGGTCAGGAAGTCACCTTAGGAATGTGTGACATCCAGGAACTGGTGTCTTATCAGTGTCTAGATGAAAGGAGTACAGAATTTGAGGTTTTTATACTAATTTAGTCCAGTTATAACACTTTTAAAATCCCAAAGAGGAATCATTTCTAAGTATCTCCTTGACCTTGACCCTGGGGTTCTAATTTGTCCCCATTAGAAGCCGTGGGAAAGCTCTGCAGACCTGTTCCCCACCCCCATACCTTGTGAGTCAGGTAGGACTGGCTGTTGGAGCTGCAGCAAAAGCCTGAGACCCTTGGGATTTGGTCATGGGTCAACCTCTGTAATACATGAACCAACTTAGGCCTGGTTCTGGGGAAAGTACACAGCTTGAGTTTGGAGAAGGAGGAAATCTGGGTACTGTGAGCAAAGAATTAAAGAATGGGAAATGGAGGAAGGGGCCCCAAAGCCCACCTTCCTCTACTCTGGCTCTCAGCCTGTCCTGGATAGATCCCCAAAACACCTGCTGGTTCTGTGAGCTCTCTGAGGAGTAGCAAGTATGGGGTCCCACAGTATCACTGAGAAGAAGAAACCAAAAAGCACTTTGTGAAGGCACCTTTGGACAGACATTGTCCCAAAGTGACAGTGACAGAGGTTGACAGAGGGTGAGGGTGACAGAGGTTTTCATGATCACGCTGGTATGCACCAGCTCAGGAGTATACATTCAACCTCTGCAGAGACAACTTGGGAACCTCAGTAAAACAGGGCTGATTGGCCTGTCAGACCCCAGGATTCTGTCTGCTTCCTCCTTCCCTTCCTGTCTCTCTGGAAGGCCTCCTCCAAAGCCCCAAGCCCACCCCTGGATGGAATCACCGTGCCCTAGTCAACCAACTCTGACTTGTGACATGCCTCAAAGGCAGAGGAAACCTTGCCTTTGAATATAGTAAAATACGTTTACCACATCTCTTTCCTTAGCAAAAAGTTGTATGTGTATGTGTTGGGACAAGAGAGGACTGTAATCATAAAGGTGAAAGTTCCTCTCCCTTTGTTTTTGGAAAATAAGCCTTTCAGTGAAACTACTCTGTGTGACACTATAGTGGTGGACACGTCATTTGTCCAAACTCACAGAATTTCTAATATCAAGAGTGAACCCTAATATAAACTATGGGCTTTGGGTGGCAACAATGTGTCAGTGTAGAGTCATCAATTGTAACAAAGGCACCACTCTGGTAGGGGTGTTGGTAATGGGGGAGGCTGTGCATGTGTGAAAACAGAAGCCAGGTGGGAAAGCTGCTTCATTTTGCTGTGAATCTGTAACTGCTCTTTAAATAGACAAGTCTGACTTTTAAAAAAAAAAATTAAACAAGGTCAAGGCATGGTGGCACTCGCCTGTAATCTCAATGACCCAGGAGACTAAGGTAGGAGGAACACAAGTTCAAATCCAGCCTCAGCATCTTAGCAAGGCTCTATGTAAAATAAAAAATAAAAAGGGCTGGGGATGTAGCTCAGTGGTAAGTGCCTCTGGATTCAATCCCCAATACAAAATAAATAAATTAATTAAACAAGCCTTGCCTGGCTAAGGTATAGACTAAAGTCCAACAAAGAGAATGACAACCTCTAGGACCATCGGTGTTCCCCTCCCCTTCCCCACTTCCAAAGTGAGTAGATTGTCGCCCTTATGATTATCTGACCGGGCGTTCCTCTCCAGCAACTGCGACCTTGTCTTCCTTGACCTCAATAAAATAACTAGTGAGTGGATCAACCCAACACCAAGCCCAGGTCCCACAACAGCTGGGATTCTCTCAGGCCCACGCACCTCTGGCTCATTTCTTCAGTCTTCTGCCTGGCCCAGTGACACCCCATAGGGAAAGTCAAGTCCCTTGCAGAGTGGCAGGCCATTAGCAAGACCCACTAGACTCCAGCAGGAAGCTGAGCAGATGAATCCATGGGGACAACTAGTCACATCTTTGGATTTGAACTTGGAAATTTTACAGCATAGGGGTGAGGTCTCCTCCCAGCCCCTTATCCAGACTGCCCCAGGGAAAAAACTGTCCCCTGGGCATGTGTGGCACCACTGGGAAGGAAGGCCACCAACCCCTGGGGAGAAGCCTCGAGTGTCCTGGGAAACAAGGTTCTGCAATTAAATGGGGCAACACAGTCACCTCTTTTGCTATGGGATTTTTTTTTTTTTAAGAAAAATGAACCAAAATTGGACCTACAACAGAGGTTGGATAAATGGCCAAGATAGAGGTGTGAGGATGTTCACCCGAAGTTTTGAGAACAATAAAATACTGGAAACATTCTAAATGCTCCCACCATCAGGCTGGACAAATGAAAGACGGTTTATACTTTCATTTGCAATGGACAGTTTGAAATCATTAAATGGAGGGTAGAGTTATATTTACTGAGGTAGAAAAATTCCTTTGACAGATTGTTGAATAAAAAGAGCAGGTTATGAAACAGTATATGGTCCCATTACCATAAAATCTCTCTCTCTCTCTCTCTCCCTCTCCCTCTCTCTCTCTCTCTCTCACACACACACACTCACAGAGCCGTCTGGAAATCTGTTCACAAAACTGTTAACAGTAGCTCTCTCCAGTTGGTGGAATTTAAGGGCAGTTTCTACTTTCTTTAAACTTTATTTTTAGCTTCTTTAAACTATAAATTTTGAATTTTTTAAAAAATCTTCATAGTTAATTGCCAGGCGCAGCGGCATATGCCTATAATCCCAGCAACTCAGGAGGCTGAGAGACAGGAAGATCACAAGTTCAAGGTCAAACACAGCAACTCGGTGAGACTCTGTCTCAAAAGAAATAAAAAAGGTTTGGGGGTGTCGCTCATTGGTTGAGGGTACCTGGGTTCAATCCCCAGTACTGCAAAAATACATTCATACCCATAAAATAGTTAACCATTTTCATTTTGGAATAGGTAAATAAACAAGCAAACAAAAATAAAATCTTCCACTGTCCCAATCATGGTCCCCATTATCTCCTCTCAACTTTGGCGGAGCCATTCCGTGTTCCCTCAATGAGGAGGCCCAGCAGGTTGTGGGAGAAGCCCAAGCTTGGAACTACTGGATTCCAGCCGTGGATGTGTCTCTGCTGCCAGCCGTGTGACCTTCAAGAAGCCGGTCTCCAACATCTGCGATGTCTGTGGTCCTGAGCTCATGACTTCTGCCAGGCTCTGGGAAGACAGGGAACAAAGAAAGAGAGGTCTAGGAGGCTGAGGCCATCCTCACATCAGTGGACTGAAATCCACACTCAGTTAAATCAGCTACAGGTGCCCAGGCATCTGTTGAGAGGAGCCAGGGGAACTGGGCACAGGATCAAACAGACTGCTCAGGCAAGATGGGGACACAGAATGTCTCCTCCAGGCCCCTCCACCGCCACCCTTCACACTCAGCTTATACGCATTCTTGGATGCAGGGTGCTCCCACCCCCACCCCCACTCCCTTCTCCCCGGTTCATAGGCTCCTGCAGGATGCTGGAGCCAGGAGGAAGCTCAGGGAATTGGCTTTTCCAATCAATGCATCCCACTCCCTCATCTTGTAGAAAACCAAGGCCACAGAGGACAGGACTCTCTATAGATGGGGACTTTGCCAACATGGCTCCAAAACTGAACCCAGACTCTGGTTCCCCACTCTAACACAGGGTACAGGGACCAGCACACTCTAGTGCCTTCCCTTCTACCAGGTTCCCAGCCCAATTCACCACCTGGAAAACTTTTAACGGTTGTGCCACAGCTGTGTGCCTGAGGTCCTCATTGCCAGCTGGCCAAAAAGTGACCCAATGCCAAAATCCCACTTGACTTGCTGTTCCCAGGATCTTTCCTGGTACCAACTGTCATAGGTTCGTTTGCACAGAAAACGTACTGAGCCAGATCTTGGGAGAGGAGCCAAACTCCATGCAGCAGAGTTACCCTGCGTCGAGTCACCAGGACCTGGCCTTTATATCCCTACATCAAGCCTCCATTTGACAATGGTCTAGGGGTAGCCTGTGATTAAGCAAGGTGGCTCTCTTCAGCAGAGTGCAAGTCTCAGAGGAAACACAGCTGGGCCCCATCACCACCAACACACCCAGCATCTGGGAGAATGAGGGCCTCAGTCCTGGAGGGGCAGCCCCCTGCAGGGGCGCTGGATGGTGCACCACAGCAGCCCCTATGTAATCTCTCTGCCAGAGATTCCATGGCCAGCCAACAGTGGGGTCGCAAAAATCCGGCTGACGGAATGGCAGCTATTATGCATACAAACAACAATAAGTGTTGGTGAGGATGTGGGGAAAAAGGTACACACATACACCACTGGTGGGACTGCAAATTGGTACAGCCAATATAGAAATCAGTATAGAGATTTCTTGGAAAATTGGGAATGGACCACCATTTGACCCAGCTGTCCCTCTCCTCGGTCTATACCCAAAGGACTTAAAAACAGCATACTACATGGACACAGCCCCATCAATGTTTGTTTATAGCAGAACAATTCACAATAGCTAAACTGTGGAACCAATCTAGATAACCTTCAATAGATGAATGGATTTAAAAAATGTGGCATATGTACACAATGGAATATTATTCAGCAGTAAAAGAGAATAAAATCATGACATTTACAGGTAAATGGATGGAATTAGAGAAGATAATGCTAAGTGAAGTTAGCCAATCCCCAAAAAACAAGTGCCGGATGTTTTCTTTGATATAAGGAGGCTGATTCATAGTGGGATAAGGAGAGGGAGCATGGGAGGAATAGAAGAACTCTAGATAGGGCAGAGGTGTTGGAGGGGAAAGAGAAGGGGAGGGGTTATTAATGATGGTGGAATGTGATGATCATTAACTATCCAAAGTACATGCATGAAGACATGAATTGGTGTGAATATACTATGTATACAACCAGAGATATGAACAATTGTGTTCTATATGGTAATAAGAATTGTAATGCATTCTGCTGCCATATATAAATTTTAAAAATTTACATAAAAAATCCAGCTGACTAAAGCCCATGAATTAACAGGGCTAGTTCCTTGACTTGCAGAGCCATCACCTCAGTCTCTGCCTTTATTTTATACATGGCTACTTCATGGGTGTGTGTACATGGGTCACATTTCTCCTTTTTCTAAGGACACCAGTCATGTTGGATTTGGGCCCACCCTAAAGAACCTCGGCTCAACCAATTACATCTGCAATAACCCTATTTCTAAGGTCATGTTCTTAGGTAGTGGGTGTTAGACCTTCAAAATATGATTCTTAGGAGGACACCAGTCAACCCATAACAGTTTGCTATTTTAAAATGGATCAGGGCTAGGTACAGAATGCCCTGAGTCTCTGGGCCATCCCCTTGGTTCCTACCCCTGCCAGTACTAAAATATCAAATAGATGGTATTTGGCTGAGAAACTGGAGCCCTATCCCAGCCCCAGGTGAGCTCTGACCCTCCACTTGCCTTCCCTCTGCAAACAGGGAATAGGGCAGGGACAGACAGTTCTGATCTACAGATGGACCAGCTTGAGTTCTCCCTGGTGCCAGCTGAGGCACAGCTGGGAGGGGGGAGGGTCAGCTTTCCCAACGCCAGGCTGTGTGCATGGGGCTCAGTGCCCTGGGGCGTGCTCAGGCCCCACTCCCACTCCCTCACCGCCTTCCTTTCTGACCCCAAGTGCTCCAGCTCCAGCATGTGCCCTAGGAGTGTTGCCTCTCAGAACCCAGTTCAATCATCCTAGACTGGAAAGGAAGCAAAGGCACGTGGCACCTCCCAAGGAGGTCGCCTTTTGTACTCCAGCTATCAACATCTGGGGGCCGTGATTAGTATTACCTGTCCTCCAGGATTCGGAATCGAGGCTCTAAGATGGAGGGACTTACAGGGATTTGAAAGCTGGCACAGTCAATCCCAGAGCATGGTGGTGGCAAATCTGCACTCGGCCCTGCTGGGAAGTCAGCATTCACCATGGGTCTAGCTGGGCCACCTGCCTGCCATCTCCAGGACAGCCTGACCAAAGTCCAGGTACAATTGCCTTTATCTCCTCTGCTGTGATCTCCATTTTCATCTCAGGGCCACTAGTCAGGAGGCCCCTCTGAGCAGGAGGCCTGAGCTACACCTGTGGGAGTGAGGTTGGTCACTGATAGCAGAAGTGCTGGCCATGCAGATCGTGTCTCTAACACTAAGCTTATCTTGGGAGGACAGAATTCCCCAGCACTGCTCTTCAGCCTGCACCGCTGCCTGGCTGAGCCTTGGGAGGGAGGGAGGTCCCTTTCCCCTCTTGCCAGGGTTCCAGGATCCAGAGTGGTG